ACATCGGGGCAAAAAGAGTGCAGCAAATTTCAGCCAGATGTGCCAAGCAGACAATCCATCTTTGCGTCTTTCAGAGAACTCCAGCATCACAGGTACTCATCTTCAACCAATTCAGTTCACTCCACACAATGTCAAGAAATTGGTGAAGGCACCTGACACTGCAAAGGTTATGGGCCCTGACAACATTCTCACAGTAGTACTGAAGATATGTGCTCCAAAACCTGCAGCACCTCTAACTAATCCATTCCACTTCAGCTACAACATTAGCATCTACCCGACAACATTGAAAAAGCAGGACAAATCTAACACAGCCAGTATTGCCCCTCAGTCTACTCTCAATCGTCAGTAAAATGATGGATTGGGTTGTCAAAATGCTATCAAGCATCTCTGGTTTAGCAATAACCTGTTCATTGATGCCCAGTTTGGGTTCTGCCAGGGTCATGCAGTTCCTAACTGCATTAGAGGCTTGGTTCAAATATGAACAAAAGAGCTGAATTCAAGAGGTTTACTGAGAGTAACTGCCTTTGAAATCATTTGACCCAGAGTTGTATCCAGGAGACCTAGCAAAACTTGAGACAATGGGAATCAAGGGAAAAACACTCAACTGGTTTGAGTTTAACCTGGCACAAAGAAGATTGTTGTGATTTTTGCAGGTCAGTCATCTCAGTTCCAGGATATCACTACAGAAGTTCCTCAAGGTTGCGTCCTCTGCGCAATCATCTTCGGCTGCTTCGTCAATGACCAAACCTTCATCAGGTCAGAGTTGGAAATAATTGCTGATATTTGCAACATGTTCAGCAACATTCATGACTCCTTAGATACAAATGTTGGCCATATTCAAATGCAGCAGGACTTGAACAATATCCAGGTGTGTACTGACAAGTAGCAGCCAACATTAAGGCCTCAAAAATATTAAGTAATGACCATCTCTTAACAAGAAAGAATCTAATCACCATTCTTGGACATTCAACAAAGTTATCATCAGTGAATCCTGGAGGTTATCATTGACCAGCAACTGAACTAGGCTAGCCATATGAATATGCTGGCCACCAGAACAAGTCAAAGGCTAGGAATCCTGCAGTGAGTAATCCAACTGCCTTCCCAAAGCCTATCCACCATCTACAAGTGTTATGGACAAGATCAAACCCCCTCAAAACATTTTAAGAAGATTAGCCTAGACCCCAATATTTTCTTATTTTAAAGGCAAGTGCCAGGCATTGCGTTCGGATATAATTCAATTAGTCAAACTATCAGTCTTGAAGCAAAAACGCACTTTACTCATACACTTGTTAATATACAACAAAAGAAAGAAGAGATACTACAGTGCGGAGCAGGCCAGGCAGCAGAGGAGCAGGAAAGTTGACATTTCAGGTTGGGACTCTTCTTCAGAAATAGGGGAGGAGGAAGGGAGCTCAGAAATAGAGAGAGGAGGGGTGGGGCTGGAGAATGTAGTGGGATGGTGATAGGTGAGTGCAGGTAGGGAGTGGTGGGGATTGGTCAGTGGGATGGGAGGGGTGGATAGGTTGGAGAGAAATGGACAGGTTGTGTCAGGTCAAGGAGGCAAGGATGAGAGGGTGGGTTGGTCATGGGATGAGGCTGGGGGTGGGGAGATTTGTCAACTTTCCAGTTCCTCTGATGCTGCCTGGCCTGCTGTATTCTTCCAGCTCCATACTGTGTTATTTCTGACATCAGCATCTGCAATTCTTGCTATCTCTAAAAGAAAAAAAAAGAGGAAATGGGTATAAATGAACTCCACTGGAAAACTTAACAGAATAAGAGATTATTTAACTACTAAAAACAGTAATTATTCCAATATAGTAACATCCTATAAACACATCTTTGGCGTAGGAGGGGTAACAGGCATCTTCTCTCTAGGGTGGGGCATTTCAAGACTAGGGGGCATATTTTTATGGTGACAGGAGAAAGATTTAATAAAGACATGAGGTGTAAAACAGATTGTCTCACATGGAATTCTCTAGTCCTGGAGGTAAAACATCAAGAGAAAACTCAGAATAGCAGGGAGAGATGTTCTGCAGCTTTCAAACCCAGCATCAAGATTCCATCAACCGCTACTGAAAAACTAAGATGAAAAATCCTGGTTCTGTGAGAGCTTGACCCCATTCATTCAGGCTGCTTCTATTCTTCCAACTTTTTTTTTTAAAAAACCCAAGGCCTCTCAAACTGTTTACTTCATTGGCCCTAAGTAACCCAAATCAGTATATCTGACTCAACCTTTTTTCATTTAAAAAAAAAACCAGGACAAAATACCCCTCTTAAAACCATAGTATCATTACATAGGGCACAAGTCAGGAGTGTGACGGAACTCTCCATACTTGCCTGGATTAGTGCAGCTCCAACAACACAAGAAGCTTGACACCATCCAGGTCAAACAGCTCATTTGACTGGTCACACACCCACAAACATTCCTATTCCACCACTCAGCAGCCAAGTGCATCACCTACACGATGCAGTGCAGAGTGACAGAGTGACAGTCTGTTCCAAAGCAGCTCGCTTGATGAGGACCACATCCACAAACAACCACTCCCTCCACCAATGCTTGGTGGCAGCAGTGTATATTATCTCGAGATAAACTGCAGAAATTCGACAAAGATCCTGAGGCAGTGCCTTCTAAGCCCACTACCATTTCCATCTAGAAGGAGATAGAATCATACAGTCAGACAACACAGAAACAGACCCTTCGGTCAAACCAGTTCATGCCGACCATAATCCGAAACTAAACTAGTCGCACGTGCTGCGCTTGGCCCATATCCCTCCAAATATTTCTTATTCATGTACTTATCTAAATGCCTTTTAAATGCTTTGTAACTGTACCCATATCCATATCTCTGGAAGTTCATTCTACATACAAATCACTGTGTAAAAAAATTGCCCTTCATTTTTTAAATCTTTCTCCTCTCACCCTAAAAATATGCTCCCTAGTCTTTGAAATTCCCCACCCTAGGGAAAAGATGCCTGCCATCTATACTATCTATACCCCTCATGATTTTAGAAACTTCTATAAAGTCACCCCTCAACCTCCTATGCTCCAAAGAAGAAAGTCCCAGCCTATCCTTATAACTCAAATCCTCCAGTCCTGGCAAATCTTTTCAGAACCATCTCCAATTTAATCATATCCTTCCTATAGCAGAACGACTAGATCTGTAGACAGTAAATGATTTGGATCAGAACATGGTCAGTAAGTTTGTGGATGAAACCAAAATTGGTGACATAGTATAGAGTGAAGAAGGTAAATTTACAAAGGGATCTTGATCAAATGGGTCAATTGGCTGAAGAAATGGCAGATGGAGTTCGATCTGGATAGATGTGAGGAATTGCATTTTGGGACAAGGGTAGGGCTTATACAATTAATAGTAGGGCCTTAGGCAGTATTGGAGAACAGAGGGACATAGGGTGCAGGTACATCATTCTTGGAAGTTTGCATCATGTACAGACAGGGTGGTTAAAAAGGCATTTGGCCTACTTGCCTTCATTGCTCAGTCCTTTGAGTATAGGAGTTGGGAAGCCATGTTGAGGTTGTACAGGTCATTGACGAGGCCTCTTCTGGAGTACTGTGTCCAGTTCTAGTTGCCCAGTTATAGGAAAGATATTATCAAGCTGGAGAGAGGTTAGAAGAGATTTACCAGGATGTTGCTGGGTATAGAAGGTTTGAGTTATAAACAAAGGCTGGATAGACTGGGGCCTTTTTCCACTGGAGCACAGGAGGTTGAGAGGTGATCTGATAGAATTTTATAGAGTAGTGAGGGGTAGAGATAGTTAGTGGTTGTTGACTTTTCCCTAGGATGGGACATTTCAAGACTGGTGGCACATTTTTAAGGTGAGAGGAGAGAGAATTAAAAAAAGACAAGACTTTTTTTTTTTTTTTTTTTTTTACACAGAGGGTGGTTAGCATGTGGAATTAACTTTCTGATGAAGTGGTGGATGCGGGTACAATTACAACATTTAAAAGACATTTAAAAGACATTTGGATAGACACCTGAATAGGAAAGGTTCGGAGGGATTATGGGCCAGGAACAGACAGGTGGGACTAACTTAGTTAGATAGATATAGACTGATTGGACCAAAGGGTCTGTTTCTGTGCTGTATGACTCTACTCCAAAATTCTAACGTCCTCTACTGCCTCAACATAACATCCAAATTCCTATATTCAAATGTCTGAGCAATGAAGGCAAGTGTGCTAAATTCTTTCTAAATCACCTTATCTATGTGTGATGCAAACTTCAAAAAATTAATGTTTCTGAAACTTTGGGTCTCTTTGTTTTACAACATTACCCCCAAGGCCCCAATTATAATTGTACAAGTCTTGCTCTTGTTTGTTTCACCAAAACGGAATACCTCGCATTTATCCAAATTAAACTCCATCTGCCACTCTTCAGCCCATCGACCCAACTGATCAAGATCTCTTTGCAATCTTAAATGACCTTTTTCACTGTCCACTTGTACCACCAATTTTGGTGTCATCCGCAAACATACTAACCATGCCTTCTATATTCTCATCTAAATCATTTATATAAATGACAAACAAAAGTATGCAGCCAGCACCGATCCCTGTGGAACACCATCACCTGCAAATTTCTCTCCAAGCCACTCACCATCCTGACTTGTAAATAAATCACTGTTCCTTCAGCGTTGCCTGGTCAGAATGCTGGACCTCCTTTCCTAATGGCATTGAATCTCTACCTACAGCCTATAGACTGATGTAGACCAAGAATGCAGCTCAAATGCAACTAGGGATGGGCAATAAATGCTGGTCCAGCCAGCAATTCCCCTGTCTCTTGAATGAAGAGAAAAGAAAAAAGTTATTTGTGCAGGTACGAAGAGGCAAGATTAGTGAGCTAATTCCACAGATAACTTAGACACACGCACGCACGATTTAGAGACATAGAGCAACCAACCAGCTTCAAAATAGTACAAAACTGATATCAGTTACATTTTGTTAGTACAACATCAAACACATTGACCCATTACCCAGGTTAACTTACACTTTGTAGTTTTGGAACTTTCCCTTTTCCATTCTGTGAACTTTCTTTTGATTTCTTAGTTTTCTTTTTCAACCCAGTTGCACAAATGTCTGACCTGGGACACAGTACCTAAAACAATAAAAATCCTAATTTACCAAGAACATTTGGGAAGAGTAGAAAATGTCAAAGTTTGTCATGTCAAAGTTTGTCTCTCTATGAATACTACTGAATGAATCAATCAATTAATCAAAAGATCCTCTAATATTGCATCATCATAGGAACACAAGACTTGGGAACAAGAATAGTTATTAAAGATATAAGATCCACAGTCTGTAGATTAAGGTGAATAGATGGTCTTCAGTAGAGTAATGTGCTCTTCCTGTCAGATATGGCAGATTGGGGAGAATTTCAATGTTCCTGATGATTTTGTCTGCAGGAAGTCTGCTTGGCTGCAAATCCTATTGGATCATATGCATTAGATGGAGTAGCATTTACAGGCAATGAGGAATTTACAGGAGCCAGGGGCTGTGATGAATGGTAGTTTCAGGAAATTAGAAAAACCACAGGTTCGGTAGGGTAGGTAAGTTACCTCCAGGAGAAGTAGGCAGGTAGTGCAAGAGTCTACTGTAGCCACCCCCATCTCAAAGTATGCGGTTTTGGAAACCATAGGGTGATGGGACTCTCAGGGGAATACAGCACTGACTCATGTTTCTGGTACCAAACCGGGCTCAGGTTCCAAATGATTAATTGTTGTAGGGGACTCCCTTGTCTGGAGACACAAGCAGACATTTCCGCGGCGGAAAGCAAGACATCAGAAAGATTTGTTGCCTCCCTGGTACCAGGGTCAAGGATGTCTCAGAGAGGGTGCAGAATATTCCCAAAGGGGAGACTGACCAGCAGGAAGTTGTTCTACACATTGGTACCATTGACATAGGAAGAGAAAAGGACAAGGTTCTGAGAAGAGAATATACAAAATTAGGCAGAATGTTGAAAAGTAGGTCGTCAAGGGGAATAATATCTAGATTACTGCCAGTGCCACGTGCTAGTGAATAAGAATAGAAGGAGAACGCAGCTGAATGCGTGGCTGAGGAAACAAAGAAGATAGGAGCAGGAGAAGGCCATTTGGCCCTTCAAGCCTGCTCCACCATTCTTCACGATCATGGCCAATTGTCCAACTCAATAGCCTAATACTGCTTTCTCTCCATAAACTTTGATCCCATCCGTCCCAAGTGCTACATCGAGTCGCCTCTTGTATACATTCAATGTTTTTGCATCAACTACGTCCTGTGGTAATGAATTCCACAGGCTCACCACTCTTTGGGTGAAGAAATATTTCCTCATTTCCGTCCCAAATCATCTACACCAAATCCTCATACTGTGACCCCTGGTTCTGGACACACCCACCATTGGGAACATCCTCCCTGCATCTACATTGTCCAACCTCGTTAGAATTTTATAAGTCTCTACGAGAACCCCCCCCTCATTTGTCTGAATACTAGCAAAACAATCCCAACCTAGTCAATCTCTTCTCATACTTCAGACCCACCATGCCCGGAACGAGCCTGGTAAACCTTCACTGCACTCCCTCGAGAGCAAGAGCATCCTTCCTCAGAAAAGAGGAGAAAGATACACATTTTTGTTTCATTGGAATCTTTTCTGGGGTAGAAGTGGCCTGTATATGAAGGATGTGTTGCACCTGAATTGGAAGGGGACTAAAGTACTGATGGGAGATTTGCTACAGCTACTCGGGAAGACTGAAACTAGTAGCAGGGGTGGGGAGGAGATTGCAAAAGACAGAGCGAGAGAGTCCCAGAGAGATCGTGAGAAAATAAATCAGTCTGAGGCTGATGCAGTTGAGAAAAGGAGAACACAGTCAAGGCAGGAAACAACAAGGCAGAGAACGAGGTAAGACTGATAAATTAAACTGCATTTATTTCAGTTAAAGAAGCCAACCAGGTAAGGCACTCAGGGCATGGTAGGGAACATGGGACTGGGATATCATAGCTATTACAGAAACTTGACTCAAGTATGGACAGGACTGGCAGCCTAATGTTCCTAGATGTAATAGGAAGGATAGAACTGGGACAAGAGAGGTAGGGGAGCGGTGTTTTTGGTTAGTGATACCATTACAGCCGTGCTTAGGGAAGATATTCTGGGAGTACACCCAGTGAATCTATGTGTGTGTAACTGAGAAATAAGAAAAGGATGATCACCTAATTGGAATTGTACTATAGACCCTCCCAATAGTCAGCAGGAAATTGAGAATCAAGTTTGTAAGGAGAACTCAGGTCATCTGTAAGAATAATAGGGTTATAATAGTAGGGGATTTTAACTTTCCAACCAGACTGGGAATGCCATAGTGTTAAAGGCTTAGATGGAGAGAAATTTGTTAAGTGTGCACAAGAAAATGTTCTTATTCAATGTGGATGTGCCTACCAGAGAAGAAGCAAAACTTGATCTCTTGGGAAATAAGGCAGGGCAAGTGACTGAGGTGCCAGTGGGGGAACACTTCAGAGCCAGTGATCATAATTCTATTAGTTTTAAAATAGCAATGGAAAAAAATGGACCTGATCTGAAAGTTAAAGTTGTAAATTGGAGGAAGGCCAATTTTCACAGTATTAGGCAAGAACTTTCAAAAGTTGATTGGGAGTGGATATTCACAGGTAATGGGATGGGTGGACAGCTGGAAGTCTTCAAAAATGAGGTAACGAGAGTCCTTAGACAGTGTGTTCATGTTACTGTGAAGGGCAAGGCTGGTAAATGTAGGGCATGGTGGATGACTAGAGAAATTGACGCTCTGGTCAAGAAAAAGGAGGAAGCATATGTCAGGTATAGACAGCAGATATCGAGTGAATCCCTGGAAGAGTATAAGGGCAGTAGAAATATACTTAAGAGGGAAATCAGAACTTGGGGAAATAAATAATGATATCTTGGGAAGTGTACATATTACAAAAGAGTTGGGTCAAGTGCCTTATAATGCATAAAGGTGGATAAATCCCCAGGACCTGATCAGGTGTACACCAGAACTCTGTGGGAAAGTAGGAAGTGATTGCTGGGCTCCTTGCTGAAATACTTGTATCATCAATCGCCACAGGCGAGATACCAGAAGACTGGCGGTTGTCTAACTAGGTGCCATTATTTAAGAAAGATTGTAAGGAAAAGCCAAAGAACCTAGATCGGTGAGCCTGACGTCAGTGGTGGGCAAGTTGTTGGAGGTGATTCTGGGGGACAGGATTAATATGTATTTGGAAAGGCAAGGACTGATTAGGGATAGCCAACATGGCCTTGTGCATGAGGAATCGTGTCTCACTAACTTCATTGATTTTTTTGAAGAATTGATGAAGGTGGATGAAGGGAGAGAGGTGGGTGTTGTCTATATGGACTTCAGTAAAGCGCTCAACAAGTTTCCACATGGTAGACTGGTTAGCAAGGTCAGATCACATGGAATACACAGAGAGCTAGCCACTTGGGTACAAAATTGCCTTGACAGCAGGTGATGGTGGAGGGTTGCTTTTCAGACTGGAGGCCTATGACTAGCAGTGTGTCGCAAGGATCGGTGCTGAGTCCACTGCTTTTTGTCATTAATATACATGATTTGAACTTGAATATAGGAAGTACAGTTTGCAAGTCTGCAGATGAAACCAAAATTGGACGTGTAGTGGACAGTGAAGATTACCTCAGAGTACAACAAGACTTTGATCAGTTGGGCAAATGGGTTGACGAGTGGCAGATGGAATTTAATTTCGATCAAATGAGAGGCGCTGCATTTTGGTAGGGCAAATCAGAGCAGAACTTATATACTTATTAGTAATGTCCTGAAAAGTGTTGCTGAACAAAGAGACCTTGGAGGTCATAGTTCCTTGAAAGTGAAGTCACAGGTAGACAGGGTAGTGATTTGGCATTTGGTATGCTTGCCTTTATTGGTCAGTGTGCTGAATACAGGAGTTGGGATGTCATGTTGCAGCTGCACAGGACATTGGTCAGGCCACTTTTGGTATACTGCATTCAGTTCTGGTCTCCTTGCTATAGAAAAATGTTGTTAAACTTGAAAAGGTTCAGAAAAGATTTACAAGGTTGTTGCCAGGGTTGGAGGAAATGAGCTATAGGGAGAGGCTGAGTAGGCTGGGGCTATTTTCCCAAACATGTTGGAGGCTGAGGAGTGACCTTATAGAAGTTTATAAGATCATGAGGGGCATGGATAGAGTGAACAGCCAAAGTCTTTTCCCCAGGGTAGGGGAGTCCAAAACGAGAAGGCATAGGTTTAAGGTGAAAGGGGAAAAGATTTAAAACGAACCTAAGGGACAACATTTTCATGTAGAGGGTGGTGCACACATGGAATGAGCTACCAGAAGAGTTGGTGGAGGCTGGTACAATTACAACATTTAAAAGGCATCTGGATGGGTATATGAATACAAAAAGTTTAGAAGGATATGGGCCAAATGCTGGCAAATGGCACTAGATTAATTCTGGATATCTGGTTAGCATGGACAAGTTGGACCAAAGGGTCTGTTTTTGCGCTGTACGTCTCTATGAATATGGCTTAAAATCATGGCTAATCTGGTGTGGTCTCATCTTTACTTTCCCATGTTCATCCCATCTCAACTTCTCTATCGAAAAGCCGTTTAACTTTACCTTGAATACTTTTAAAGATCTTGCCCACCGTAATGAAATTTCTCATTGCTCTTAAGTTACAGCTCTGAATATTTAGGTCTGTTGGCTCTCGTAATAGCTAAGACTCTAGAATTCCTGATGCTCTGTGGTTTGAAAACCTTCAATAAAACACTTACACATGTCCCTCACTTTATCAGTTAGCATATTCACAGTTGCAATCTGTTTTGAGCATTATACCTTCCTGACGATGACTTGCATCAGCTTAAATATTTCCAACTAATTGCTTATTAATCACATATGTAATTGGTGAAAAAATTGCTGAAAGTGATGAGGCATAGTTTGGGTGCTAATGTTTTAAGAATCTTTTCTGCAATGCCATAACTTTACAATTATTCATCTCAAGCCCTCCATCCCTAACTCAGATCAGGAAAATTCATGTACACAATGAAGGTAACATAACACTCAATTCTGTCATAGCATTCAACTTTTCAACAACTTTTGTCTTGAAACGTTTGTAA